CTGTGTTCTTCCAGCTCTATACCCTGATATATTTTCAAGTCAGGATAGGGAATGGCTTGAAGGGGAACTTACAGATCGTGTTTCTGCTGCCCTTATTCTTCTAGACGAAACTGGTTGTGGGTTTGGAAGGAGTCACAAATGGTGACCATTATGCAATTACCAGCAAACATCCCCGCTCCTAAACCTATAATGGAGATCATTGATGAAGCCACTCAAGATGAGTGGAACAAGGATACATCCCTGAGGACCTCCAACCACCACAACCATCTTGATTTCTGCCAGGTAGGGCTCTGGATTACACAAATTGAAAACTGTTGTTTGAAGGGGAGATTATATCTCTGGAGAATAGATTTAGACTATACTGATATTTATGCGCATGCACTCTAGCACTTCCATCACCCACCCCAAAAAGAAACTACCCACTCACCTCCAGGGTCCATGACACACTCCCCAACCCGACCAGAACTGTGATGCACAGCATACCTACCTGCTGTTTTCCTGAGAGCCCATAACGCCCAATAATCTTCCTCATTTCCTCCTTCTCCTTGATCTCTGGATAGCACTTCATCATGTACTCCAAAGGGGACAGGTCCAGCTCTAATTGGTCTTGCAAGTGCTGGGGGAGAGACAGAATGGTACAATACATCAGAGAGCAGAAATCCCTTCAAAGGAAATTCCTAGAGTCTCTCATTCTTCTGCTCCACATTCTTGGTAGCACAGCCAAATGGAAAAGCAGCTGCTTCAGTCTGTCGTCTTGCTTTTTTCGTAGTGGAAATGTGCTGGAAGAATCATTGGAACATGCTCATAATGACTGGAATTCAGTAGTTTTAAAAAGGCAAAAATCAAAAGAGAAACTGCTGATAATACTCAGCAGGTCAGGCAGCTTTTGTGAAAGAGAAAGAGTTAATATTTCAGGTTGATGATCTTTCAGTCTCCAAAAGGTACCAGGTCAGAATCAGCTTGACAAATGGTTATAACGATTAGGAAAGACTCAAGAAGAAACCTAACTGTTTTACTATTCCCAACAATTATTAAAATAGTTGAAGAGATTTCAATGGAGCAGACATGTCCATTGTGGAGAGAGAATGTCCAAAACTCTAAATCCAAATCAGGAATTCACAAGAAACATTTCTCCCAGTGAGAGTAAAACTCTGGAGGGTACACACAAATCACCAAATGTCCAACCTTCACGTTGGTCCTTCACATACCATATTCTCCACGTGGCATAGTCTGCAGATTGCACATTGGGTCCTGAGGCAGCTGATAAGTGCATCAAAGTGGAATCAAGTTATACTTGATCTTAAAAGGACTGCCTAAGAGAAAGAATTTGCGCCAGCCTCACAACCCATCGAGAACTCTGACCTGATGCAACTCTGATTTTAATCAGGTGACCATTGGTTAGGAACAGGAGGAGCGGGCCGTTCAACCCCTTGAGCCTGCTCTGCCATTTGGTAAGATCATGGCTGATCTGTGGCCTAATTCTATGCGCCTTGGACTCGTATCCTTTGATGCCCTTTGCTTCATAAAGGTTTGTCTCTCTCAGATTTAGATTTAACAACTGAATTAGCATTGACTGTCATTTGAGGGAGAATGTTCAAACCTCCACTACTTTTGCACGTGGAAGTGCTTTCTAGCCTCTCTCCTGAATGGCCTAGCCTTAATTCTTAGACTATACCCTTAGTTGCAGAAATTTCATCTGGTGGAAATAGTTTATCTACCCCGCCCTTCCCTGTTAATATCCTGAAGACCTCAAATAGATCACCCATTTAACCTTCTGAATTAGAGAGAATAAAGGCCTAATTTGTCTAATCTCTCAACCCATATTGTAATCAACCAAATAGAATTGGACCTCATATACAAACCCATACAGAACAAAACCGGAAATGACAACTCACCATAACAGATACGACAGTATAAATTCCAAGTGGAGCAGAACAACATTGCTTCATTGGAGGCCTCACTGATAAGGTTACCTAGCATGGCGACAAAACATCTGAACGAAAACAAGCCAGCTCGGCGAGCGAGTCAACAACCTTGCCTAATCTCTTTATAACTTAATCCCGGGTATCATTCTTCTATGCTTGTTCTGAACTCCCTTCAGGGCCAAAACTTTGTTCCTGAGGTATGGTGCCCAAATCTGCTCACAATGCTCTAAGTGGAGTAATTAACTAGCATTTTGTGTAACTGCAGCATAATGGCTGCATCATCACACTCCGGCCTTTTAGCTATGAAAGGCAGCATTCCATTAGCTTTCTTAACTGTTTTCTGCCCCACTTCATTGGTGCTCAAGCCTGAAATTCTTGCTTTGTTTTCTTTCTTCAAGGCACTCCTTAAAAATCTCTCACCTAATATCTTGGGTAGCTCAGTGTCATTTGACTTTAAATGCTACTGTGAAGTTCTTGAGGGAATTATATACATAAATGGTCTTTATTGCAAGTTGCTCTTATATAGAAGATAGCCCTTTGGCCCATCAGTAAAGTCGAGTTTGGGAGGCAGTGGCATTGTAGTAATGCCTCAGGGCTAGTAAACCAGGCCCCAAATTAATAAAAACAGAAACCTAGAAAAGGAAGAAACCATTTCACCCTTTCCTGCTCTGCCATTCAACATGATCACGGCTGAGCCTCTAACTCAATGCCGTACGTCCGCTTTCTCCCCAAATCCCTTGATGCCTTTAAAATGTAAGCAATTATCAACCTCTTTCTTGAGAATTCAGTGACTTGACCTCCACAGCCTTCTGTAGTAGGGAATTCTACAGGTTCACTACCCATTGAGTTAAGAAATTTTTCATCATCTCAGTTCTAAATGACCTACCCCATATCCTGAGATTCTGTCCCTGGTTCTAGACTCCACTAACCAGGGAAAAGATGCTTCTTGTATCTAGCCTGTCCAGCCCTGTTAAAATTAGAATACATTCCAAACAGATCCCCTCTCATCCTTCTAAACTCTAGGTGTCATAGCCATGGAAGAGTAATTTGTGCCACACAAATACCAGGCAATGACCAGCTACAATAAGAGACAATCTAACCACTGTCCTTGACATTCAACTGTGTTATCACTGCAGCCTTCACTATCAACACGCTTGGGGTTACCATTGACCAGAACCTCAACTGGACTCACCACGTTAACACAGTGGCTACAAGAACAAGACATCTCCCGACTCCCCATATTCTGTCTGACATCTACAAGGCACAATTCAAGAGTATGATGGACTACTTTCCACTTGATTGGATGAGTCCAGCTCCAACATCACTCAAGAAGATCGACACCATCCAGGACAAAGCAGCCCACTTGATTGGTACCACATTCAAAAGCATCCACTCCCTCCACCACTGACACCGAGTAGCAGCAGCATGTGCTGTCCACAAGATGCACTGCAGAATTTCACCTATGCTCCTAATAGAGCACCTTCCAAACCCATGAACACTTCTATCTAGAAAGACAAAGGCAGCAGATACATGGGAACACCATCCCCTGCAAGTTGACAGGCAGGAGGCTGGAAGAACACAGCAAGCAAGGCAGCATCTGGAGGAAAAGAGAAGTCAACATATTACGAAGAAGGTATTACCCTTCTTCAGGGCTGGATGTGGGGGTAGGAATAGAAGGATGGAGGTGGAATGGTGGTGATAGGTGGACACTGGTAGTTGGAATGACCTTGTTGGTCAACAGGAGGGATGAATCCGGTTGGTGGCTGGAAGGGAGAGTCAGAAGATGGAACGGAAGGGAGGAGATAGGGCTGGAAGGGGAGCCGGGGGATGGGTGGGAAGGTTATTTGAAATCGGAGAACTCAATGTACTTCACGTTGTTCTTCAAAAGTTGAGTCCTCCAGGCTGTAGGATGCCCAGGTGGAAGAGAAGATGTTGATATTCAAATTTGCGTTGTGAGTCGCTGCAAAACTGGAGGTGGCCAAGGACGGACATGTCGGGAGGGGGTGTGGGAGGGTAGAGTTGAAATGGGTAGTGACCAGGAGGTTAGGTTGACCATTACGGGCCAGGCAAAGATGCTCCGTGAAATGGTCATCTATTTACATTTGGTCTCACTGACGTAGAGAAGACCACATCGGGAGAACTGGATGCAATAGACTAGGTTGGAGGAGATGCAGGTGATGTTCTGACTCACTTGGAAGGACTGTTTAGGGCCCTGAATGGAGGAGGTGAGGGAGGTGGTATGTGGACAGGTGTTGCATCTTTTACAGTTACAGGGGAAGGTTAGGGAAGGTTGGGGGGGGCGAAGGGAATGGTCCTTGCAGAATGCAGAGAGGGGTGGGGAGTGGAAGATGTTCCAGGTGGCAGCGTCTAATTGGAGTTGGAGGAAGTGTTTTAAGGATGATACGTTGGCTGGAAAGCGAGGACCTTCTTTCTGCAGTTCTCTCATTACTTAGTGCTCAAAGTAGTTTCACCAAGGCCTCAAACAACTGCAGTAAAACCTCCTTTTATAATTCATTGCCCTTACAATAAACAATATTGTATTTGCCTTCCTAATCACTTCTCTACCTGTATACTACCTCTGTGATTCATGTCCCAATACACCCAAATGCCCTTGTACCTCAGAACACTGCAATCACTGTCCATTTGAACAATATTCAGTTTCTCTATTATTTGAACCCAGTGCACACATGAACGCAGTAGTTGGAATGCATTCAGTTAACCCAGCTAAAATTATTTTTATTCATCATGGTTTGAGCGTACCACTGACCAGACCAGCATTTACTGCCCATCTCAAAACCTTTGTTTCTACTTCACAACTAGCTTTCCTATTTTTGTGTCATCAGTAAATTTAGCAAACATACAATCCAGATCAGTGACTAGGTTGAAAGGATTTGACAAGTGGTTAAGGCTTTAGTACAGATTCCTGTGGTACCACAACTACTGACAGTTTGCCAAATCGAAAACAACCCATTTATTCCAGTTAGCTAACCAATTGTCTTTCCACACTCATGTTACTTCTTACTCACTTCATTTCAGACAATGAAGGCCATCAGTTTAACTGGGACAAGGTAGCCATAGTAGCCCAAGCCAAACATAGACACGCTCAGGAATTCCTAGAGGCATGGTTCACCACCCGTAATTCTATCAACAAACATACAGAATTGGACCCCACGTACAAACCCAGACAGATTAAAACCGGAAATAACACTACTCATCATTAAGGACCAGACAGTATAAATTCCAAGCAGAATAGAATACCATCGCTTCATCGGAGGCTCCACTGACGATGTCACTTAGATGGTGACGAAACGTCTGAACGAGAACAAGCCAGCTCGGCGAGCAAGTCAACAACCTCACGTTACCACCTAAAGAATTGATTCTAGCATTTCTCAATGACAGACTAACTGGCCTACAATTTGGTGCTTTGGTTTCACTCCTTTCTCGACCAAGGTGGCCTATCCCCTCTGCCACTTGGCAGATATGCAACTACCTTAACAAGCCCCTGTCACCACACTGGCTGGGCACATATAAACAAAAGGAGCACATCAGATCGGATCAAATAGCAGGAAACTGCTTCCTCAATAAACCAACCACGCAATTATCAGAATTCTTTCATTTATTAGACGTGAGATGAGCAATTGTGCTGAGGATTTTTAATCTTTCTAATTTACATTCATGGCAGAGCAGCATTTATTGCCCATGCCAAAACCTCAATGTATCTCGTCAGACTCAGTAGATAGAGGGTTCTGGAGATACAGCAATGCAATAACACCAATTTTAGATAGCGGAGAAGAGCCAGAATATACCTGATGGGCCAAATAACTTCTTTTTGTGCTGGTGCTGCTGCCTGACCGCTCCAAGCCCAAATTCAGAGATAAATTAATCTCTGAAGGAAAGGCCAACATCTGTTTACTACTGGTCAGGTATATCGCTCAGGTCAGTGGGTGCACTTGTTCCTACAAAGTAGGGAACACCGTAAAATGCCACACTTATTGTCCACCAAGCTAGTGATGGGCTTTGTCCATGACCTGTTTGCCTGGCCCTTGTGTTTATAGAGGGAAACCAGAGAAGGGAGGAGGAATAAAGGTTACCTGATGGTATCGTCCAATCTTGACATGTGAGTGTTTTCGAACCATTCCATCACAAGGCAAGAGCTACATAAACGAGGTTAAAAAAAAATTCAGCACAGAATCAACATTGCAGGAGATTCAGTCAATATTATTACACCAACAGGTGTCAGCAAATCTAAACAATGTTACGAACTGAAATGGGAAACTTATGCTTCCTGATGTGGCTGACACTGGGGATCACTGAATTACTGCTTGCTGAAGTCCCTCAAAAGGTCGTGGATATTCATCCATTGCAATTACTGAGTCCAAGAGCATCCAGAGTTAACCAGAGAGAGTGGTGGTCATAACTCATTGGGCAGTGGGCTGGAAATCAAGCCCCACTATTCTGGAGTCGTCAGAAACGAACATTTCATTAAACTAGTAAATTTCTCAGTTTTACCCATGTCCAATTCAGGTTAAAAGAATATCCAGGCCATGCTTTTATCATTAACAAGAAAATGACTAACTTTTGCAATCAAACTGTTTCTAACCAATGACAATAAAAAGACAAGTTGAATTTCTAACATGTAGCTTTATAACTTAAACTCTGCCCATTTTTTTAAAATTCTCATAGAAATATACACACTGACAAGGTTAGGAGTGAATAAAGAGAGGACAGAAAAAAGGAGGGAATACAGTCTAATAAAACCAAATCTGGACAACAGGAGTGGAGTTGTTTGCTTTCAGGTTTGTTTTTGTTGGTGAAAGAGGATTGTTTACACACCAATAATGTCTTTCAATCACTAGTTAAGAGCTTGTCCCTAGTGTCTCTGAAGGTGGTTCTTTCCTTTCAACAGGTGTTATAAAAGCAGCTATTTCTTTAAAAGTCAATGAAACTTGCCATTATCCCTTCAGCAAGTTGATTTCTGTGACAAACTGTGCATGTCCAATTTAATTGAATTCTAATCTTGGAATAGGATAGAGGTTTGCTTTTGGAACATGTTAACTTCGCAATAATTAATAGAACGTTTGTGATTCATCCGATTTCAGGACTTTCTCAATGGAATTAGAAAATAGGAGTACTGGGCCATTCAGCCCTTCAAGCCTGCTCCACCATTCAATATGATTGTGACTGATCATCCAACTCTTCCACAGGATTGTGGGTATCTTTCCTCCCCTCCTTGCTGATTGGACCCCCTCTCCCAAACCCCCCTCCCACCCCCACCAGTTGTATATTTACAATCCCTTCTGACGTTCTGCTTGCTGATGCTAAATGTTCTGTACTCAGCAAAGGTCTTTAGTTTTATCTCCCTGCACCCCCATCTCAATAGATTTCAGGAATGAGATGACTTCTTTGAATTCTGTCACTTTTGCCTCAGTGCCCATTTCGGTGGACAAGGTGTCCTCTCCCTCAACCAAAGATCCCTTCACCAATCTCCAACATTCTCCCTCCAGCAGGAACCCTCCCTCTGGCCTTTTACCTGCACCCGACCTGTTCATCGAAACTGTAGATGTGACACTGATTGCCTCAATTTTTCTCCACTCCCACGCGTTCCAACCCAAATCCCTCTGCACTGACTGCATTCCGTGATCTCAGATCCAACCTTTAGTAAACAAGCCTGACAACAAGGATTGTGCTGTTATTGTCTGGCATACTGACCTCTACATTGCGGAGGCCAAGCGTCAACTCTCATACCTCTTTCTATATCTTCCTGGAGCATGGCCCCACTATGAACCAGCTGGCCGTTGTGTCCTCAACAATCAAAATCTCATTCCATTTGGTGATCTCCCCCCAAGAGCCTCCAAGTTCATAGTTTCTCCAACACCACACAGCCCATTTCTACCTCCTGCCCAAATTCCTCAAACAGAACTGAACGAGCAGGCTCATTGTTTCTGCACTCTCCTCTCCCACAGAACTCATCAACTCTCCCACCTTGACTAAATTTTCCACCCCTTGTCCAGTCCCTTCCCACTTACATCCACAATTCCTCCAATGCTTTACATCAGTTTCAGAATTTCCAGGTCACGGGCTCCAGCCACCTCTTCTTCACCATGGACGTGCATTCACTTTAAGTGTCCATTCCCCATCAGGATAGTCTCAGGGCTCTCCACCATTTCCTGAAAACAAGGTCTGAACTGTCTTCATCCACCACCATCGTCCTCCACCTGATCGAGCTCATCCTCACTGTGACCAACTTTTTAACTCCTCCCACTTTTTTCAGGTAAAAAGGTGTGGCCATGGGTACCCACATGGGCCCCAGTTATGCCTGTCTCTTTGAGGCACATGGAACATCCGTTGTTCCAGTCCTACTCTGGCCCTCACTCAACTCTTTCTCTGGTACCTCAATGGCATCACTGGTGCTGCTTCCTAATGAGGTCCAGAATTGGAGAAGATTTATCTGTTTTGCTTCCAATTTCCACCAACTGTCAACTTCAGCTGGCCCATCTCCGACACCTCCCTTCCCTTCTCTTCCTAAATATCTGTTCCTATTTCTGGGGATAGGCTGGCCACCAACATCCACTATAAACCTACTGACTCCTACAGATCCTGCTTCCTGTAAAGACAATTTCATTCTCCAGTTCCTCCTTTTCCATCACATCTGTTCTGATGATGCCAACACTGACATGGGACCCTCCAAAATGTCCACCTTCTTCCTCAACTGACCACCGTAGTTGACAGCTGTGCCTAATCCATCTCCCATACTTTGGCCCTCGCCCCCTCTTTCCTCTTCCACAACAGCAACAGGGTCCCTGGTCCTCACCTACCATCCTACCAGCATCCACATCAAAAGGACCATTAACCGCCATTTCTGCCACTTCCAGACAAACATTCCCCTCCAATCCCTTGTCAGCCTTCTTCAGGGACAGTTCCCTCTGGAACACTCTGGTCCACTCCTCCCCACAGCCCATGACACCTCCCCATGCAATGTTTACTTCTTCCTCCTCACTATCCAAGGCCCCAGATACATCTCCCAGATTACCCCAATCCCCCATATCGTTACCCTAACCCCCAGACACCAGGCCTTATCATCACATTGGTTGCTACCACAACCATCATATTGTCAGCTTCTAATGGTCTCAATTAGCCCAGGCTGACCTTTATCCATTCCTTTGTCTGTCCATCTGTTGTTCTCTCTCCAGCTTCTCTCCACCTGTCCTTTACTCCTCCCCATTCTGTCTTCAGCATGTATACCAACCTTTTACTTGCTACAATCAGGTTTGAAGAGTCACTGGACCTGAAACGTTAACTCTGATTGCCCTCCACAGGTGCTTCCAGACCTGCTGAGTTTTCCCAGCAATTTCTGTTTGTTTCTGATTTCCAGCATCTGCAGTTCTTTGGCTTTTTTCCTTTAGTATCCAACTCTGTACCCTGTTCCCACTTTTCCCACACTGTGTTCCCATTCCAGGTCTTTGGTCAGGGTCGCCCATAACCTATTCAGGCTGTGCTAATCAGTTTTTCAAAAGCGTATGTTAGAATCAAAGGCAAGGTTTAATTGAAGGCTGGGGGTTTCACTATAACCTAATATTTAAGTCTGGCAAAGCTTGATGGGAAATGTTAAGTCAGGACTCAGAAACTAGGGGGTCATTTGACACCCTCAAATCCTAATGGTCACAGGCTTATAATGATGGAGCTGGTGAGTAATCATAGGGATCAATCTCTACCTACAAATCTGCAAGAAACCCAGGTACAAGAGGAAGAGCACCCCTATTCCACAGTCAGTGAGAAAGACTAAACAAATGACACACATCACATTTCAGCTCTCCACATATCCTCACATTGGCTCCACAAGATACTTACATCACCTGCCAGCAGTTTCAGTAATGTAGACTTTCCAGCTCCATTCGGCCCAACCAGGGCCACCCTGGTGTCCAAATCTATACCAAACTCCAAATTTCGATAGATTAATGGCTGAAAAAAAAACAGACAATAATCAGAATTCCTTCTTCTTTCAAACTTCTAACCTCCATCCCCTCAATCCGTCCTTTGCAGCCAGTCCCCAGGATTTTACCCCAAGCTCATCAAAAGAAAACACAGTCTCCACTGCTCGCTGCCTACACAGTAGCAGCCCTTCCTGAATGACTTACCCCATCCTTAGTGTACTTGAAGCTCACATTCTGTACCATTATAACAGGGGGAGGAATCTTCCCACAGGACGGGAAGCAGAATGACAATGTCTACAAGAAAAATACAGATAATGGATTAGAACATTAGAACTGTAAGAAATGCCAATACAACTGGAGTAGATTCATCCCATAGCCCTTGGCAGAAGGGAGACAATAGCGGGGGTATACATGTTCTGTCCCAGCACCATTTCCAAGGAACAAACACCCATTAGCCACATAAAAACCGAAAGAACTGCAGATGCTGTAAATCAGGAACAAAAACAAAGTTGCTGTAAAAGCTCAGCAGGTCTGGCAGCATCTGTGAAGGAAAAAACAGAATTAAATGTAGGCCAGATCAAGCATGGCCAGGTATCCTTTAGGGAAAGACATTATTGGACCAGATGGGATTTTGCAACAATGATCGTTTCATGATGAATATTACTGATATGAAAAACATAGGAATAGGGCATTTATCCCCTCCAGCCTACAGCGTCATTCTAATCTTCTCTTTCCCACACTACCTCCACAGCTTTTGATGTAACTCATACTGAAAAATTTATCAATATTGGTCTTGATGTCGGACTGAGCGAACTTCAACCGTATAAGTTAATTAAACTTATTAACTTAATTCCAGCATCTGCCATGATGGGATTTGAACAACATGTCCAGAGCACTCTGGATTTACTAGTCCGCTGACATAATCATTAGGCCATGACCCCTCTAATTGCAAACCCAAAAACAGACACACAAGCATAGAACTTTTAAGAAAAAAATAAACACCTAAACAGCCACAGCCCCTCAAGCTGTCACTGAAATAAAAGTCCAAAATAAGAAAGAGCCACTCCATCCTGTCCTGGATCAACTGCTCAATCATGGTAGGTAGTGGACAAGAACAACACCTACTGAGGCCCTGTTCTGACTTCATGAGGTGCTTTTACCCAACTGTGCTAAAACATGGCAATCAAGCAATTGCAGAATCCCTGTAGCCTGACTGTACTCAGTGAGGATATTGTAACCCTGCACTCTGTAGGTGTACAAACTGCTTGTGACGAGGTGGAAAGACCCAAACCCCTTGCAAGAGATACTCCTTTAGAAAATACAAAGCGTGAAGAAGGTTGGGAAGTCACAAAGTGTGAGGATAAGAGGCTTGAGATTTTTAAAATTAAAAATTCAGGTTGGTGGGAGCGATACACAATGACTGTTAGAACGGAAAATCTCCATTCATGAAATTGCTACTGTTACAGCCCATTGATGTTGCAATGACACAGAACTGTCGCCACAGGTTTTTAGCCACTCTTACAGTGCGCACATATGTTGCGCAAACCTTGTCACTGATGACTTTCTCCGTCAGCCCAGAGGCCATCATCTTCTGTAGCGTCTTCTCTTTGCTCTGAGCTTGTCGAGCTAACTTGGCACTGCCATGTCCAAAGCGAGCAATGTAGTTCTAGGGAGAGAAGAAAACAAGGTTAGGATAGCAGGCAACAAACTTATTGAGAGTACAATGAGCAACAAACCGGTTTTTCCCAGTTAGGTCAGATTTTTAAAACTTGACCTGAAGTATGAAATTGGGGGAATCCAGAAGTACAAGGAGAGATCTTTTAAAGTTATGAGGTGCTGGGGAAGTGGTGGTGTAGCAATAATGTCACTGGACTAGTAACCCAGAATTCCAGGCTAATGTTCTGGGGACATAGGCTTGTATCCCACCATGGCATATGGTGACATTTGAATTCAATGAAAAATTGCAATAAAAAGCTAGGCTAATGTAATGCAGATAATGTAACAGGTTTACATGGTAAACAACAGATATGTAACCATTATTGACTGTAAAAAAACATCACCTAGTTCACAAATGTTCTTTTAGGGAAGGAAATCAGCTGTCCTAATACAACTTCAGCTCCACAGTAATTTGGTTGACTGTTAAAAGCACTCTGGGTAATTAGGAATGGTAATAAATTCTGGCCTAACTGATGATACTCAAGTCCCATGAAGTTTTAAAAATCGTTCCAAGAGCATGACAAGGTGTTTAATAAACAAATTTAAAATTAGGAGACAGAATGATTTATATGACCAATCCTATCGATGGAGTGGTCATGACCGAGGAAACATTGACCTAAATATTTCTTATTTAGAATTAGAATTAGGCTTTATTGTCACGTGTACTCGAGTTCAGAAGTACAAGAGTACAGTGAAATATGTACAAAGTCTCCAATCACCGGCATCATTTTAGGTACAAAAATCCAACTTAAAAAACCATCTTAAAGTACCAAAACCAGAAATTAAAAAAACAAGAAAGTAAGCGTCCACATTTAAAAGCCTAGTCTCCATGTAGTAGCCTTATCTCTGTAAGGTAAGTAGGCCTCCCTCCACAAAGCCTCGAGTCTCAGTGCCGTCATAGGCCCTCGGAAGTCGCTCCCGCAGCCCCTCGTTTAATCTAACCTTGGAGGGTTGTGAAGCCGTGGAATTCAACTGAGTTAGTGATTGGAGCAAGTGAGATAGGTGGGCAAAGGACAGGTACATAAGATTTGGATACTGTTCACATGAAGAATAAACACTAGAGTCTGGTTGGGCTGACTGACCAACTTTTGGGTTGTAACCTAACCAAGCTTCTGTCAATGGCTCCTAGTAAGTTAACTCGTTCAGGTGAAGGGAATTCTACCTGAAGTGACTCCACCTTCTCTGTATAGAATTCCCTTCAGCATTCCCAGCCACCCACATCCATGTACTCACCTTCATGTGTGTAATCTGATCTTGTTCCCAGGTGAACCGCTTCATCTGATTCTCCTCTAGTTCCAGCCTGGTCTTCACATATTGGTCGTAGTTACCCTAAAACACAAGCCACAAGTGACTCCAATGCTGTTTCTCGGTTTAAGGTTTTAGCAAAGATTTGTAGCTTGGGGTGTGGGTGAGGTTATTGACTTGCTCACCAAGCTGGCTTGTTTTCATTCAGACGTTTCGTCACTATGCTGGGTAACATCACTTCATCAGAGGCCTCAATGATGTTGTTGTTTTACTCCGCTTGCAATTTACACTGTCTGGTCTGTTATGGCGAGTTGTCTCGTTTCTGGTTTTGTTCTGTATGGGTTTGTTTAGGAGGTCCAATTCCTAGAGTCATGGTTCTCAACCCATAATGCAATCAACAAACATATAGAATTGGACCCTATATACAAACCTATACAGAACAAAACCGAAATGACAACTCACCATAACGGACTGGACAGTATAAATTCCAAGCAGAGTGAAAAACATCGCTTCATCGGAGGCCTCACTGATCATGTCACCTAGCATGGTGATGAAACGTCTGAACGAAAACAAGCCAGCTCAGTGAGCAAGTCAAAAACCTCACGCTGTTTCTCGGTGCCCCAGAAAGTAACACTGGTCTCACTAATACTACACCAGCATTAATTGGCCTCAAAGAGATTCAGAAAGCGAAGATTGAGGCACAGGATCTCAATTTTATCCACGTCCATCACATTGTTGTTAAATTCTGACTTTAAAAAATCCTTACCAGGATATCCATGGTGCCAACATTTTACATGGATGTATCTATACCACACAATTCAATGCAACGTCTCACTACTACCACCAACTGAAGGTTAGAATGAACAAATATTTCTGACTTTAATTTTTTTTGTGCTTCATTGGATATCACTCTCACCTTAGTCAGACAGCCAGAGCTTCACAAACTGTTCTAAATATTAGGCACATAATCCAGGATGTCACTTATTTCAGGCAACCTTATCGAATCAGAAATATATTCACACAAATAGTTCAAAAGCATCAGTGACCTGAAATGTTAATGGTTTGTCTCTCTATCCCAGACATGACTTTTTCAAGCACATCCTGAGTTAACGGGAAAATGGAGCAAGCTCAAGGTAAATGGTGCTTATTTGGAAGCTCATATGTGCATTCCGGCTTTTAGCTCAAAAGCTGATCTGTTTTCACGCCAACTAGCTCATATTTCCCACTGCATTTATCGTCTCCTGATTTCAGTCTTAGCATGATGCCGCTGTCCAATCTGCAACTTCATTCTGGGCAGTTACAACCACCAGCCATCATAGAGGACTGATTCCCTGCAATCAACCGGCACTGTTGGTGAACTTTCACACTCAAGATGAGCAATCCTGGTGGGGAAAACATACAGGTCAGCTTGAGGTTACACACAGAGGGAAGTTGTCTCTATTCTTTCAAACTGAAGCTCCTTCAACACTGTTCTGTACCTGTCTTAGGACTGTTTGAAGGGGACAATGGTAGATACAGAATAAGGATCAATCCACATTGCCTTAGCAACATATGTAAACCCAAATCTCAGATCAGGCCAGATACAGCCTTAATTCCATTTAGAGACAGTAGGAACTGCCAATGCTGGAGTCTGAGATAACAAGGTGTGGAGCTGAATGAACACAGCAGGCCAGGCAGCATCAGGGGAGCAGGAAAGCTGACGTTTCAGGTCTGGA